GTTGGATGTTCCTTTTGAACTTATTTTGGTCCATGGTTATAGATGTTGGTCTAAAACTAATTTTTGCTAAACTGCTTTTTAAACTTCTTGTTTTCAAAAAAATGGATTCCTTCCCTCAGGAATTTTTTTCTTGACCTTATACTGAGAATTGTATTTGATTGCTTCTGTTTCCTATAAATCTAGTCTATTCCGATGACCCAATTTTTCTTAAACTTAGAAAAAAAGATAATTTTGATGTTTACTGCCTTTACCTCCACATCCGCCACACAAAAAGGGATGGTTGTATGCTGTTTCCCTTACCCTAATTCTCATCCCATACCAAAACTCAGCCTCATATTATTCCTACCATGTAACTCTTTCACTCCTACTCATATTATTGAAAATACCTGGAAGAGGTCACTGAGTCTTTTAAAAATTCATGTTATTGGGGCAGCTAGGTGGCGCAGTGGGTAGAGCACCAGCCCTGGAGTCAGGAGTACCTGAGTTGAAATCCAGCCTCAGACGCTTGACACTTAATAGCTGTGTGACCTTGGGCAAGTCACTTAACCCCATTGCCTACAGAAAATAAATTCATGTTATCCAACTTCAAATTGAACCTTCACTGAAGCATAGTAGCTATTTTATTCATAGTCTCACTTTCCACAGCTTTTCCAAACTCTCTCTTCTCTTCTCAAGCTTACCACACCTGTTCCTTCCCCAATTTTCTCAGCTAAACACTTTGTTACTTTCCTGAGAATGTTGAGGCCATTTAATGACAGTCTCTTCTTATCCCTTCTCTTCACCTCAACATTCCTTGATTTCCCCACTCTCCACTCTAACCTGGTCTTTGACAATGAGGTCTTAGTCTTTTTTCCTTAACACTGCAAACCACTTTAATGTGTTCTTGCTCTCATCTCCCACTGTCTTCTGCAGCTGATTATAAGGGATCTAAGGGGTCATGACCAAACTCCCCTACCCCCAATTCTTGCTCTTTTTCATTTTCAACTTTTCCCTGCCTACTAGTTACCAGTTGTGTATTGGACCTTTCAAATTGTATGACCCAGAGATAGCTCAAACCTAACGTGTATAGAAACAAAACTTAATCTCAAGTCCTAAACCTACATTTTCCCCAAAATTCCTTATTTCTGATGAAGACACCATTGTTCTTCCAGGGTCACAGGTTCATAACTTAAGCATTCTCCTTAACTCCTTATTTCCTTACCCTCTTCATTCAAGCAGTTGCCAAATCTTGCTGTTTCTACCTCACCCTATCTTTTGCATATGAATATAACTCCTGCCTCAGAAATATAGTAGCTTACTAATTTTAGGCCCTAATTACTTTGTGGCTACCTAATTTATCTTCCTCGAGTTTCTCTCTATTTTAGTCCATCCTACACTATTGCTAAAATGATTTTCTGTAACATTTAACATTTTAAATTAATATTTATAAAACACTTTTCATGTCTCATTTGATCCTCATCTGTGAGACAGGTGGTATTATCCCCCAAGAGAGGATAAGTGATTTCATCAGGGTTGTACAACTACCAAGTATCTGGGGCAAGATTTGAACTCAGGTTTTCCCGACTATACACTTCTACCTTCTGGCTGCCTTAAGTGCAGATCTCAAATTGCCATTGCCCTGCTCAACTTCCAGGAGCTTTTAGGATAAAATAGAAACTGCTCTGTTTAGCTGCAGACCCTTTACAACTTTTCTCCAACCCCTCATTCGTTGTACACTTTTCCCCCAACTTCGTTCTGGGATCTAGCCAAGTTGACCTTCTCAGTTGGTCATATGCAACACTCTGTCTTGTACCTGCATGCTTTATGAAGGCCATCTCCCTGCTTGGAATGAGCTTGCTCATTGCCTTTACCCCATAGAATCCCTTTGGTCTTTTAAATGTAGCTCAAGTACCCACTTCTACATGAAACCTTTCCATTACAAATGCTTCCATCTATTTTTTTTCTCTCCTTTCCAAATTATTTATTTATTTGTATTTATTCTATATAAATGTGTGTGTGCATGCGCACATGTGTGTTGTTTCCTATTAGAATGTAAACATGGATTGGAGATTGTTTGATTCTTTGTGTTTGTATGCTTACTGCCCACCACTGTACCAGTCATGTGCTTAACAAATACATGTTGACTGATTTATTGGTTGGTACATCTGTTTCTACTTTCTACCTTCATTTCTGTTTGTTTGGTTTTTTTTTTTAATTTCCCTTGAGATGTTACATTTTCTATTTTTTCGAATTTTATTTTGTCTAGTTCTTAAATGTAATCCCTCTATAGTTTGGTTAATATAGCTTTGAATCTGTCAGTTAACATAGATAATATTGCCATTTTCATTATATTGGCATACCTTGTTATTCAGTTGTTTTTTGTCGTGTTGGATTCTTCATGACTTTCATTTGGGGTTTTCTTGGCGAAGATACTGGAGTAGTTTGCCATTTTCTTCTCCAGCTCAATTTACAGATTGAGGAATTGAAGCAAGCAAAGTTAAGTGACTTGCCTAGGGTCACACAGCCAATAAGTGTCTGAAACCAGATTTTAATTTAGGAAGAGGAGTCTTCCGTACTTCAGGCCCAGCGTTCTATCCACTGTGCCACCTACCTGCCTTAGATTGGCCTCCCTTAACTATGAACAAAGAATACTTATCCAATTATCTGTCTCCTTTTTTACCAATAAAAAGAATGTTTTATAGCTGTACTTATATAATTTTAGCTTATGTTTTGGTAAGTTAACTACAGGGTGTTTTTTTCCCCTTTTAATAATTATTTTAATGGGATTTCTTTTGTTTTTTATCCTTTTATTTGGTAGAATTGTATATAGTATATAGAATTGTTTTCTATTTTGGAGTTGATTTTATGTCTTATGAATCTATCAATCATCTCGTTTAGTTTCTTCACTGATTCTTTGGGGGTTTTAAGTATTCCATCATATCAGCTACAAATAAAAACAATACTGCTCTATTTACCTGATGTTTGTACTTTAATTTTGTTGTCATTTTGTTCCTTTGTTTAATTACTGGTGGTAGAGTTTCTACAAAAATGACAAATAATAGAAAAGAAATTTTAGTGAAACCTTGGTTTACCCATGTTTGTACTGGGGAGGACTGTAGTGTTTCTCTAATCAAAACACTTATAGCTTTTGGTTTTAATGTTATGGTTTTGATTATATTAAAGAAAATCTCTTCTATGCCAGTACTTTAAAAAAAATTTAAATAATATATGCTGTATGTTATCACAGGCTTTTCCTCCATCTTTGAAATAATCATATTTTTTGTCATCTCTATTATATGTTCATTTGTACATCTCTCTATGAGTCCAGTTTGCTTAGAGTATTGCTGTAATCAAGTTTTTGTATCCATTTTCATTAGTGAGATTTAGCTATAGTTCTTTTGCTCAGCTTTATGACTTCCTGCCTTGGATAATAGGGCCATATTTATCTCATAAAAAGTTTAATAGAGTAGTTTTCTTTCTGTTAAATTATTATTGTTTTTTTAATACATCTTTGCTGGGTTGCTTAATGATGGCTCTTTGCTATGTGAAGGTGATGTTATCTAGCTTGAGAAACCAGTAATCATGGCCAGCATCACATGGCATAAAAACAGGAATATCAGTTTCACCTTCCCTTCTGTTCATAGTTCTTTAAAAATGACTTAATGTATGTAGCCCGTTCCAAAAGTGGGAAGTGAGCTAGATTGAGAGCTACCATCAGTCACTGAATAAGTACCTGATGCTGCCAGTCATTACATTAAATGCTAAGGTTGCCCAAAAAAAATTAAAAATTGTCCCTCTCCTTCAAGAAGTCCATATTCTATGAATGAGACAACACAAGTAAATCATTACATATAATTTAAATATAAAATAGATGAAAATTTAGACTTAGAGAAGAAGGCAGTAGAGCTATGAGGATCAATGAAATTAAAAATAGGGGGAAAAATATTCTAAAAGAAATTTTCCAGTCTGCAAATATTGTAGTAGAGTTCATGCAGTGACAGAGTGAAACATTTTGGTGAACAAGTTTGTGATGCCCACAATATTGAAGGGAATATTGTGATGTAGGAGGTTGGGTAATGAAGTTGAAAAAGAGACCCCTTTTTTGCTTTTTTAGTAATTTCAGTTGCTGTTGCAATCCCCATGAGTAATGCCACAAAACATAGTCAGGATACAGAATTTCAATGATGCCATGGAATTCTTTTTCTCATGGAGTTTAGAGCACTGTTAATGAGTGTCTGAGAATGTAGCTATAGTATCTTTCATGTGTCTTAGTGTCTTCCTGTAAAGTTGTGGTGTTAAGCAGAACTTAAAATTTGAATGGTAGAAGATGGGTAAGCTTCCTACCTACCCCCATCCCATTACCCAAGAACTGTGACTCAAAGAAAATGAGACTGCATTTCTTTGATGGCTAACAAAATGTTGTTGGCATAAATCCCCCAATGTAACTTATTTGACTAAAAAAAAATAATTCATTCAAGTATGTAGTTGTCCTATACACAAGTGTTTCTCTGATGTCTCCTTCTGACATAGAGCTGACCTTCTGAAAGCCACACTAATTTACTGACTGCTAGCTTTGACAGGTTCTACCAGTGTGGTTAACCTTTTAGTTTAGGTCCAAAATAACTGAATGTGTCTGCTATCTAGGGACAAATCTAGGTTAGCGCAAATAGGAAAATCTATATACATGGTTAAGTATTTTGTTTTGTTTGCATGGTGACTACTGAAGCAGATTTTTTTAAAAGTTGTATTTCTCATTTCCCTACTTTATGGGTACATATAATTTAAATTGTCTCATAATGCTTATTGTTGTATAATGTCTATTATGGTCAACTGGAATCCTAATTCTTTGACTACAGAGGTCTCAACTTAATCCCCAACAGTACTTAACATATTGCTAAGCACATAAAAGGCACTAAGTAACTATTTACTGCCTTAATTGATGGAAATTTTTAGTGCCTGACTGGTGCATCAATTGGATGTATAGTTGTATTTCATTTTAATTGGTCTTTTTTTTTCCTTAGTCTACAAATAAGAAACCTCGGAAGTCTCCAGGAGAGAAGAGCCGTTCTGAAGCTGGAATTAGGGGAGCTGGCCGTGGAAGAGCTAATGGTCATCCACAGCAGAATGGAGACGGGGAGCCTGTCACATTATTTGAAGTAGTAAAACTGGGGAAAAGTGCAATGCAGGTAAATATATTTGCATAATACAGATTTTACTTTAATAGTGCAAGCACGTTAATTAGTTGGGAAGGATGTGTTGGATTAGTGACATTGAATTTACCTGTCAAAAATAGGAAACTATATAACAGTTACAAAGTATTTCTAAATTGTATGTTTATGTTTTTATTAAATAATAAGCTGAGAAAAAAGATAATTGATCTAACTCTTGGTAACTTTTTCAGGAAAAATATATCTTTAATATTAGCTTTAGTTATGGTGTCTAGCACAGAGCTTTGCATAAAATAGGTATTGATTAAATATTGTTCTCTGACTGGTGGATTGAATTCAGTTCTCTGAATTATTATATTAAAAATCAAAAGTTGTTTTGAAGTCAGGAAATGATTCTTTGAGTGGGAAACTTTCCATTGAGATATTTGTTTTTTTCACTAGCTAACCTTTGTTAATGGATTGAAAGTGGTCGATTCTGATCCTGTTTAAAAAAAACTGGAAAAAAAAATCTGTACAGTTGTATTTATTCATTTGAAGATATTTCCATAAGGACTGGTACCACATATTATCTACACTTTGTACATTCCCTAGCATCTAGCACCATATTCTGCACATAGTCATTTGACTACATGTTGAATGAATGAATACTAAATTTAAAAAACAAACAACAAATTTTTAGTTACTTAAAGTGGGAGCATATGGACAATGTAAGAGAATTATGTAATCCTAGAGTTAGAAAGGACTTTAGAAGTTATCTTAGCCAGATAAGAAGAAGTTATCTTCTTTTATCACAGAATTCTTAAGTTTGTTTAAATTTTTGTCATGAAGACAAATGGGAATGAGTGGGATAAAAAATGTAATCAAAGCTATTCTAATAAGCTTTTCTTGACTTCAAACTTATTTTTACTTTTTAATTAAAAGAATTTTACTTCCTATTTATAGAAACGAGTTTCTAACCTAGTGTTGCCTTCGACAATCCTCTCTTCACTTGTTAGGTCAGTCAGATGTGTGCTTAATTAATAAGGCACTTTTGGTCTTCTTGTTGTCTCATTTAACTTACGAAATTATTATCGTTAGTGTTGATTTAATTTCTGTTATTCACTTCCCATTTTTGGTTTTCAATAGCTTGTTTAAATAGTTCAGGGTTAAATCCTTAATTATAAGCCATACCTTTTTATCGTTATTATTTCTTCTTGTGTATTATAAAATCTGAATTTAGCTCTGTTAAGTCAGTGGTTTGGCTGTGCACTGACAGCGCTTCAGGGATGATTCCCATCTCAATAATAAATTGCCCTTTTATTAAAACATAGCCAATATAATTTGTGATTTTTTTTTTAATGCTCATCATATCTCTCCAGTACCTTGGTTGTTCATTCATTTCAGTTGTGACCAACTCTTTGTGACCCCATTTGGGCTTTTCTTAGCAACGATGCTAGAGTGGTTTGCCATTTCCTTGTCTAGCTCATTTTACAGATGAGGCAACTGAAACCCTATGAAGTAGGTACTATTTTCCTTTTTTTTTTTTCAGTTGGGGTTGAGTGACTTGCCCAGGATCATGTAGCTAGTAAGTGTCTGAGGTCAGATTTGAATTCAGGTTTTCCTTACTCCAGGCCTGGCACTCTATCCACTGCACCACCTACCTGCCTCATCCAATACCTATTAGTTCTTTTTTTTTTTTTCCTTCTTTCTGTCCTTATTCATACCTTTTCATTGAAGTCACTAAGTATACTAAGTGTATACGTTGATTTTATTTGGAAGGTCTTATCAAGTTCTTCAAATCATTTCTCTGTCACTTCTATCTCAGGAAATGTATTGTTACATAAACTGAAATAATTTTCATGGCAGTCTTTTCTGCAAATACTTATCAATTATATACAAATAGATGATGATCAAACTGTTCTATGAATAATTTTTATTCTAGCCTCTGGATGTATGATGAAACCTATGCCATGAACTATATTATTTTCTTCTCTGAGGAGTTCCTGTGAGCCATCTTTACATTTGTCTGTTAACTTCTTTTTTCTTGTTTCATTTTTAGTAGGAGTAGCAGGTTTGATATAATACATCTTCTCTAGTAAAATTCCTACTTTTTTGATCATTGGACAAGGATCTCACATTTAGAACACCAATAGTCAAATTGAAGTTTTTTGACAGTCCAAGAACCTTACTATCCTCTGCTGCTCCTTTTCCTGATGTTCTGCCTCCATCACTGCAGAATTTGTTGGGGGGGGGGGGGGGCTGCACATATTAAGAAAAAAATTGTTGTTGTTTCTTTATTGTTTCTTTAAGGAGGGAGGGGGAACAATAGCCATCCTTGAAGCCTTTCCTTCATGGCAGTGGAGCCTGCAAGAGCTTGTGGTCCTCTGGCATAGCCTTTGAGGTACTGGGATGGTATCTACCCTACAATGAGGCACTGGGGTGGGATGCTATTTAGAATGTTTATTATGAACAGTATCCTCTCATAAAGTGAAGAGAAGTAGTGGAAGAATAAAATGAGGGTAAAAAAAAGCTTAGCAACATATTTAACTAAACAGTCAACCTAAGAGAATTCAAGGATGAAAATGGAAAGAATACTACAAATAGAAGAAAAAAAGGAGTAGATTTGCAAAAACTCTTTCAACAAATTGTCTTTTTCATCAGGATAGTCAAATTATCCACTTGGATTCTAACAAAATAAACCCCTGAGTAATTATAGAGAGAGAGAAATGGCACTAAATAGAGCAAAGAAGGTAAGGCAACTAGAGTGGCCCAAGTGTGTGTTTATTAATATATAAACATAAGAGATTTTATACAGGAGATCCATGCTCTCCAGGAGTGGGGAACCTGCGACTTCGAGGCCAAATATGGCCCTCTGGGTCCTCAAGTGTGGTCCATTAACCAAATCCAAACTTCACAGAATAAATCCTTTTGGGATTCCCTACCTCTGCAGTTTGGCAGTGCAATTTTGAGGATATTGAAGGTGGAGTAAATACCAAAAGAGTAAGGGAAAAAATCTTATTAATTCCTAATAATAGTAAATGAGAGAATATTTACTGATGTATAGGACTATTCTTCATCTATATATGAGTTGATTGCCCTGATATGGGCATTACTAGGAAAGGAGGCTTTCTCAAGTGACATTTAACAATGGACCTCATCTTTACTATTTTACAGTTAACTTAAAGATGTGAATACAAGTCCTATTGTACTTATTGTTTGTTGATTACAAAAAAGTATTTGATTAGTAGAACAAAACAGTCCTTTACATACTTTTTTACAAGAAGTTATTTCCAAGCCATATATCCAGATCATTCAACATTTCTTTAAAAAAATGTAACAACAGAAATAACTCTTTTCAGTCACCGTCTGATAATATCAGGTGAGACATAAAACGGGGACATATGCTTGCCTAAGATACTCGCCACAGAGACCAAGTAAAGGCTGTGTGTCCAATAGATCATGATGTCCTGAAGATGCTCCAGTTAGAGCTGATGACATTATTTTTGATTAGACCAAACCACAAGACATTGTAAAGACTCCTGGAAGTGATCTGTATGCAAAGAAGGCCTGTTCATTGACACAGGAAAGACCAAACAGATGACAATTGTTGACTTCTCAGATTTCAACATACATTTGAATGAAAACCTTTTACTGATGTACAATAAGCTGAATTCAGAATTGAAAAGGATGAGAGCATACTGGGTTGTTTTTGGGGAATTGCAGGGCTCCCTTACTGACACCGAATTCTCCATGAAAACAAAAGCATGTCTATTGAACCAGTATTTTACTGGTGGTGTTATATGGCAGCAACACATGGAGCACTACAGCTTTTGAAATGTGGAAGGTAAATATCACACAGATGGTAATGGAGAAGCCCATGGGGAGTGTCTACAATCTACAACACAGATCTAACAAGGAACTTTGTAGGATTAATTTGTAAAGGAATTTTATGACAGAAAGAAAAGATCAACTCGTCACCTTGCAAGAGTGAGTGAGGATGAGAAATGGACAGCCAGAATACTGCATTGGTAGCCTCATAGTTTCAGTAGAAAGCAGCAAAGTCCTCCAACATGTTGGGCAGAGCCCTGTGGGAGGATATGAATAAGAGTTCCACTGGTTGGTCAGGCATATATGGATCATGAACTTCAGTGTTGGACAGGCCTCCTGAAGCACTGAGATCCCAGCTTTATTTTAATATAAATGCATACACAGAGAGGTATAACATTCCTTTAAATAATTATATTTAATTAATATAATTGTGTTGTGGTTTTGTTTTGTTTGTTTGTTTGTTTTTATGATGTGACATAAGCAGCCTGGTATGGCAGATAGGGTGTTTGACTTCTATTAGCTGTGCAACCATAAGGAAATCACCTAAACCCTCTGAACTTAAGGCAGCTCTTTAAGACTGTATATTATAGATTAGTTGTGATGTTTCTTAGTGCATATCCTTCTCTGCAACAAAATCACAAATCCTTGACATATCAATATAGACATGTAGGTATGGGGGAGGGAATACGCATTCGTACACATATACCTGAAATTTAAATTTCAAGTCATTGATTTGGAATTTCAGTTTCAATCATTTAGTATATAAAACCAAATATTCACAGTTTTAATTCAGTTCCTTATTTCAGGCCAAACTTGGATTAATAAAGACTAGAACCTTGACTTACAGTCTCCTTAGATATATATGAAAAATAATCTTGTTTTTTCAATTTACTGAATTCAACTTCCTTTTAGTGATATTTACATTATTGGAAATGCAATCTAAACTCATTAAATGAACTCTTCTGAAAAAAAGTTTTGAAGGAGGCCAGGAAAGCTATGAGGCAGAAGTAAGTAGAGAGAACATTACAGGCATGGGGGACAGCTGATAAAGTAAAAGAAAAAACGCGTAGGGCAGCGTAGCTTTTGAAGGAGTTAGGTATAAGAACTGTTGGAAAGATAGGAATGAGCAAGGTTGTGAAGAGCTTAAAATGACAAATGGAGCATTTATATTTGATCTTGGAGGTACTAAAGATGCTACTGGAGTTTTGAAC